AGAGAAATAATAGAGAATATCACACAACAATTAACAAATAACAATAATAATGGATTTAAACTTCAATAATGACTCATATGATGAAGGTGCTTTTTAAATGTTGCAAAATTTAAGAGATGTCTTATTTGGAACCTACAAACTACACCACAGATAAGTTCAACATAAAAAACTCCAAATTACTTAAAGAAATTTCCCAAGCACAATTTTTTTTTTTTTTGTAATGTATACTAAATAGACATAACACCTAAAATCAAAGTATAATATTGGTAAATCAAACAATTATACTCAACCTAAGATTGTGTATTTACATTCATGACGACGTAATCCACCAAATGTAAGTTCCAAGGGGGACCATATACAAAAACGAAGCAACGACAACAACAAACTCCTTGGAAACCACACGTGAACAATAGAAAGAAGATCTTTAATATTTGAATAAGAGAAATTATGAATGTGCCCGGAAACCAACTCGATCATAACATCAAGTACAAAATAGTGTAATCCATCACAATTAAGGACCGGACCAAAAGATCACCCCTATTACGGAACACTCAATAGCTAGTTGGCATCCGTAAATTGAAACAGAAAAACAAACCTGTAGACAAACGTTTGTGTGTGTGTGGTCCCTCCCTACCAACTTCATTGCAGACATATACCTTATACCTCCATTAATATCACATTGTTGTATTTATTGACACATTTCACTCATTCATTTCATTGCCAGAATTGAAATAACGATAGAGTAAATCAAGTTGATCATTCTAAAACCTAATTTAATGGGACATTGAAATTTTGAATTGAATCTCATCCCATCCCACCCCAGTCCAATTCAGTCTAGTAGCATCAATCAACCACCACTTTCTTTCTTAATTATCATTGCCCTATTGACCCAATCCACTCTCACAAATATGCATATGCATGATCCCAAAAATTCATAAACAAAATCTGATCAAACTACACGTACTTACACCTGAAAAAAAAAATACAAATATTAATACCACATTTCATCTAACAAACAACTATGCCTAAAGCAGCAAGATCGGTAAATTGCATAAGGAAAAGTCCTTTGCACTCTAATTACCGAATTTGAAGCAAAAAGACACATTTAATAACTAATGTAATAATAAATACATATTTGGTGGCATCTTACCTCAACAATCCTTTGTAATAGCACTTTACAACATGTTCAGAGTAGATTCGTAAAGATGAGGACTTAATAGGGACTATAAAGAAGAAGATAAATCAAAGATTCGGTTACCTAGCGTACATGCTCATTGATTATTAGAAACAACACAATAATGGAATTGTGAAAGTAGAAGAAAAAGATGAAAAATTTAAAATATAGAAGTATCAAGAAAATATATATATATAGCAGACCCCACCCCCACTCTTTTTTTGTTGGCTTACAGGAACACCAAAAAATATACACACATACATACAAATACAATTCACATAATAAATTATTTTTTTACTTAGTTTAAAATCCTGACACATATAATAATAATAATTTCTAGATCCATCGAACTTTGTTGACGAAGTATACAGTGTTGAGAACTTTAAAAGGGTTTATACATATTCTATTGGCCCTATGAATGGAGCACAACTGTGGCCGAAAACTGGGTTGCCTCCACCATTTCTACCTATCGTAAAACGCTTTGCTAGCCGGCCTAAAACAGCAAGAAAATGTGACCCTAATGAGATTATGGAGAAGGCATACACAAGAAGACAAAAAAGACAAAACAATAGTTTGCCGAAACAAAGAAAACGAATAACTTATAAGTTTTGTGGTCTTATCGGTCGCACATTTAGGAGTTGTCAACAGAAAAAAGCTCAGTTGTATGAATCAAATTCCACTGCGAGAATTACGCAAGCTACTTAAGGGTTACTATCTCAAACAAGTGATATTTCTACACAAGAGCTTCCATCGGGTGAACATGAGGAGCCGCAAATGGTACAGCCCCCACAACAAAATTAACGGTATAATTTTGCATTAATTATGTTTGAATATACAACTCTTTATGAATAATCTATGAATTTCTATGCAATAGGTGAGGAAAAGAACTTTGACCCGAGGTACACAAACTTGAATCACATTTAAACGTCGTCACGTGGAATACGACAAGAACACATTGATTTTGGAGATTTCTTAGAATACATTGCCATGTTTTGATAGATTGCAATGTTTGGACTTGTTTTGAGATTGCTCAGTATGTATGATATATTGGTTGCAATGGGATTAAAAAATTGAAAACATTAGATATTATTTTCATTGAATTTTATTTTATTTGTTTTTGAAATGAAATTTGGAATACTAGATTGTAAAGACATGCAATGGGAGTGCAGAATAGAAAAAAATCGGAGGTGTACCCAACCATGTGTTTAGTAAACACGGTTGTGTAAAGAATTAGAACACGGCCGTGTTTAATTTGACACCAATTTACAAAGAGTTACATAGCCGTGTTTATGTTTAAGCACGGCCGTGTAGTTCGGAGTTGTCCAGTAAAATACACCACCGTGTTGTTATTGAACACGGCCGTATTTATGCATGTAGTTCGAGGAAATATAAGGGTTTCACATAGGCGTTTAGGTTGCCCGTTTATATACACGGCCGTGCACAGTTTGGTACACAACCGTGTAAAGTGATTTTTAATTCTTCTTGACAGGTTCATGGGCGTGGTAAAAACGTTCACGGCCGTGGTCGATTCGATTAGAAATTTTTAAACTTTTTTTTCTGGTCGAACACGTAGAGACCCATTTCTATTTCTTCTCCCGTTTTTACCTTTTCCGACGACGGATCATTGGCGAATGAGGGCGGGCGGCATCTATTTGGGGGAAGTTGAAGTTGGGATTGTTCTTTTTGTTCGATTCTAAGGTAATATGTGGATATATTTATTATTATTTTTTTCATAAATTTTCTTCTTATTTGTTGATTGTTTGTGTTGAGTTTAGTTGATAATTTTTTATTTTTGTATTTTTTGTTCAATTTAAAGTATTGGATTATGCCTATATTTTGTTTGAATAATTTCTGCTTAAAGTTATATATTATTTTTTTTTTTTTGGTTGCTTTGCATGGATATTTTGAGCAAAATAAAATTTTGGTTTTGCATTTTATTTTTAATGTAGAATAATAATGCCCGGGGAAAATGGTAAGGCCAAGAGAGTTCGAACAGATGCAAGTTCTTCAGCAACTATTGCGAGGGTGGAGACAGAAGATGATTTCTTAGGTTTTGGTGAATTAGAACACACTGAACGATATGAAAGATTTAGAAGTAGATCATTTTTAAAGAGTAAACATATCGATTGGAATGTTTTATCTACTTTGGGAATGAGGGGGGGAGGTAGAGGCTTTAGTTTCGGTTGGGGCGTGGGTTCGTTTTTTGGGGATTGTAGAGCCGAGTTATAGAAATTTAACTTTGGAGTTTATGTCAACTCTTGATTATGGATCGGTGAACTATAATTACGAAAAAACTAAGACTTTGACGTTTAAGTTATTAGATGTTTTCGATCTCACTGGCCGATTTTTCAGTGATAATGGGTCTACATGAATGGGACTTTGTGGAATCGGATTACTTCCAAGCCTTGCATGTTCTTATGCCTATTCAATCTGCCGTGTATTGGTCCCAAATTAGCACCGAAGCGGCTTACAATTTTGCACTTTCTAAGGCATCGACTCTTCGGTACCCGCCACTACGGTATATACATTATATTCTAGCTCACTCACTTTCTGGTTGGGGCGAGAGCACTGGGGTAGTTTCGAATATTGATTTGTTCTATCTTTGGAGTATGCTAGAGCGTCAGCCTATAAATTTGGGTTTATGCTTGTTCGATTTATGATACATCAGGTCGAGGACGGCCGTTTGGGAAAATCTCTCTTGGTCTGTATGTTACTCGACTGGCAAAGGGCCTTGGGCTTTTAGAAGAAGAGATTGAGGATCCGATTTATGTCATGCAGTCTTGTGGTTTTCGGACGTTGTAGATGATGGGTACGGTTAGGAAAATGATGATGAAAATAGTAGATATATATGTATTGGTTGATAGGGTTGGTGGACCAATAGATGGTGTTGATCAGCTTCCCGGTGATCAGGATGCCACAGAGGGTGATCAACCGCACCGTATAGTTCATGATACTATGTCCATTGACAGGTCAACCATTGATGACTTGCGTATGGATATGCATCGCCGTATGGACGAGTTGCAGATGGAGGTGCATCGCCAGATGGACAATATGGAATTGGAGATGAGATCTTCATTTTCTCGTATTTTTCAGCATCTCTCCATTCTTGTTTCACCATACGATGGTCCTCTTCATGAATCTACACTGGGACACGGTGATGTCACAAATGATATAGATGTTTTGTTTGCGGATCATCCAAGCAAAAATGAGGACGAATAGCTTTGTTTTTTTTTTTTTTTTTTTTTTGTATTTTATGTTTAGTATATAATGATTTTTTGTTTTAAGTATGTATTATTCCTTAAAGTAATCTGAAGACTGTTGTTTAGATTATTTTTATTAATTTTAATCAAACTTCAAAATTTGTTAACAGTGTTGTGTTCATTCCGGGTCATCAGCCAGTTCGGCTCCGTTAAGTCTACGTCAGCATTTTTCGCCAATTTGTTGAAGGTAAAACAAAAAAAAATAAATTTTAATTATATTGAGAAAAAAAAAATATGAATTTTGATTATATTGAAATCAAAATTAATGAGTTTTCAAACTAAAATTAATAAATTTTGATTATATTGAAACAAAAAATTATAAATTAATTTATAGTAAGACCAAAATTGATGAATTTTTTATTATATAAGAGACAAAAAATAATAAATTTTAATTATATTGAAATCAAAATTAATAATTTTTTATATTAAAATTAAAATTGATAAATTTTAATTATATAGACATAAATAATTTTTTTCTATTACTAAATAACTCAAAATAAACATAAAACAATAATAATAAAAAATAAAATCCAAAACAAAACAAAAGAAGAAAAACATACTGAGTATTTGTACATATGCATAGCAAACATAATAAGAGAAAGAGCAAGTGATGATCCAATCAACATCCACGTCCAAAACAAGATCGCAATCCACGCACCATTAAAGTCCTACTTCTACCAAACATTATATAATATATATTTATATATATTATATTGTCTTCTTTCTAATATATAAAAGAGAGCATATATATATATAGCCATTGATATGGATGAATCAGTTCCCATCGTCTCCGCTCTTCAAGTACAGCGTCTCTCCGCCTCCACCCCCACCGTCACTTCCACTGCGGCTGCGGCCATCGCCGGAAGTATTGCTGCCCATCTCCTGCTGCTTGCTCCCGCTCGCCAGTGGCCGGACAAACTCAGGAAACCCTCCTCCGCCAAGTCCACTGTGAGGCTCGCCTTGCAGCATCAACCCCGACCTCCCGCCACCGCCGCCCATCCCAAGCTGGCTGTGCAAAGCTTGCTGCTGCTGCAGCGACGCGTATGGCTGCCCTCCGTAGAGCATTGACGACCGGGCAGCTGCCAGGGATTGCGGCGTCATCTGCTGCGCTTGTTGCTGCTGCAGGTAATGCGCCGCCGCAGGAACCATCCCCCCGGCGGCATATTGCTGTTTTTACCAAATTATAGCTTTGTTAACTATTTTGCATGTATAATTACAAATTTAAAAATAATCATATGATCACCAGAGTTATAATTATACTTGGTTAGAACGCTAATTTAAATTAATTAGTATTGTAATAACAGCTCATAAAATGTAAATTTTCAGTACATAGGTCAAATGATTACAACATTCTATGTGTTGATTCAATATATTTTAATCATAAAAATATATATATTTTACAGTAAAACATCATTATACCTTTTTTTTTATATAAAAAAAGAAATTATTATTATTCATTTTTATTAAAACTCATACTCATATTTCTCAACTAAACATACAATTGCATGATGTGTTAAGTACTTTGGTGATTATATAAGGTATTATATTGTTTTATCTAACTCAATTACTGGTTTACTTTGGCTTATTAAAATCCGGAATTGAATACACTCATTAGGAGTAATCAATCCTACTTAGATGAACAAAATCAATTTATCCAAAATAATATTTGTACTAAGCATTTTTATCATGCTAAGAAATATAATATCATGCTGCAAAATAAACTCAACAATTTTAACTTATTTGACACTATTTATTTGTAAAAAAATATTACATCAAATATATTAAAATCAAATATTTTCCAAATTTGTAGCTCTCCAAAAACATGGCTAAACGGAGCCAATTATATTGTATTTAGTGACAATAATATTTACTTGCATACTACGTTATTATATTTTATGTACTGTCACCATCATATTGACTAATAACTACGGCTGCCAATAATATCCATTAGGAAGATTTTAGAAGCAATAGTTGGCATTATAATTTGTAATAAAAATTCAATTGGGTGTAATATCTACAAGGGTTATTAATGTTGGTCATCTAAAGTGGTCAAAACAAGGGTTTCCTTTATTCTTTTAAGGGTTTTGAAAGGAAAAACAATGTACGAATTGATGTCATACTAATTCTGAATATACACACATATATATATATATAGAGAGAGAGAGAGAGGATACCTGAGAATGGATGTTGGGCGGCTGAGGCTGTGAATCAGCAATGGCAGCAAGATACATCAGGTTTCTCTGCAGTCTTGCTTGGTTCCTGCCAAAGTATAATATACATATATATATATATCATCGTCATCATCATCATAGATTCTCTTTCTCTCTCTTCATACATAGATACAGACGTTTGTAAGTGAGTAGAGGTAAGAATATTGAAAAGGGTGGAAATTATACTGAAAACTTACTCAGCACATTCACTGAGCTTTCCAGAGTTTTGGCTCTCCACAATCTTGAGGATCAGAGACTTGTTCTCGTCCAGATACTACAAAATCGCCCATTCATTGTATATACATCATAACAACATAGATTTGCAGAGAGGTTTTAATAATGGTGATTGTCCAAAATGAGAAATAATGAAACCCCAATTTCAGTTTATAACCAAATCCCAGATGGATCTTGCAATTATTGAAAAAAGTGGGATAGAAAAAAAGAGAATAACATGAGAATTAAATCATGAGTGAAAATCAAGTAAAGGGGTGGATGGAATAACCAAAAGGAAGCCTTTGTATGTCAGACAAGGCTATATAGTATAGTAGGAGTAGTATTTAATATAGATATATAGATACAAGTCTATAACAATAGGTACATCACACACTACTATAGTTACAGAGGTATTTCTCATATGCAGTCAACAAACAAATCCCACTAAAGATCACATTTTTTAAACAGCAAAGAGTGCAAGGAGGAATCTTTAGAAAAATGAGCTTTCAAGAATACCACATTAACTGTTTCATATTAAAACCAAAAAGCAATTTTTTGAAAAAAATAAAACACAGAAATTCACTCTCCAAAGTGGGCATCTTGAATCCAAGAAATAAATAAATAAATAAAACCCAGAAATAAGCTAAGGAAGATCTTTTTTCCCCAAATTGATATAACATCATTCATCCGAACACAGATGCATATTTATACATATAAATTCATAGAGAGCTTCGAACCCAAAAGAACAAAGTAACTATGAACATGAATGAACACACCTCCCTCTCTCTCCTCTCTCTCTTTCTATGCATATATATATATATATATACACAACAAGATTGAAAAGTATATATATGGAGAGCAGATAAGGAAGAGAAAGGGAAGGGAAGAAACCTGTTGAATGTGATCAGTGGTGACATTGGTGGGATAGTAGGCTGCCATGATGGGCTGCTGTTGCTGCTGCTGCTGCTGCATCTGCATCAGGTGCTGCTGCTGTAGCATGCCCCCCACCCCTCCCTCCCTCGCTCTACCCCTTCCTCTCTCTCTATTTATACACAAACGATACAATACAACACAACAAACCCTAATTCAATTCCTTAGCTAGCACCACCGCCACCACCACCGCGGCTGTAACTAATTGTGAGTAGTAGTAGTAGTAAGTAATATGATGTTATCCTCACTACCCTACCCTACCTTGCCCTATGCTATATTGCTATGTCCTCCCTCTCTCCCTCTCTCCCTCTCTCTCTCTCTCTTGAAATATTGTATGTACCCTACGGTTTTGGACTTGTAGCAGGGTAGCTAGCTAGCTAGGTAGCTTGGTTTCTCTCTCTCTAAGTTTGACCGTGAAAGGTATGTGTCAACAAGAAAAGCACTGCAGCAGAGGCAGCAAAGGGGAATGGCCCCTCCCCAGTTTTGGGTTTATCTTCCTCTACTTAACTTGGAGTTTCCAAACACACTACTACTACTACTACTATTACTGTTCCGCCCCACTCTCTCTCTCTCTATAAAAAAGAGACACCATTTTCTAATTGCCTTGATTTGCAGGAGATGATATGAAGTTTAAATACTAGTAAGTAAATGTTAGTAATTAGGGTTTTGATAGAAAGATAGTGTGATATAAGAAGGCAAGGGTTGTGTTGTGTGTCTTGTTCTTCTTCTTCTTCTCGGTGATGTCGCTGTCAGTGGTGAAGATGTGTGAGAAAGAAAAAGAATCTGGAGAGGACAGAGAGGGGCCAGTCTGCTCTGCTAGCTGCAGGCGGGCGGCAGCTGCAGCACCAGTATCATTATTATTATTATTTATTAATTAATTAAAAAAAGGGGGTTTACTTTGGGGTTTGGTCTGCTACTGTGCTTCTCTCTCTCTCTCTCTTACTTTCTGTCTGTGTCATCATCTGTCACGTGACCAACTTTTTAGAGGGAGGAAGAGAGCGAGTGTGTGGAAGCAGAAGAGATCAAACCGGGTTTTTTTGGGGTTTTCTCTTTCTATCTCTACCTGCCCATGAAGACCAGTCGTCGCATACGTACTGCACTGCACTGCAGCAGCTGCAGCTGCACACTGTCGTCCTGCTGCTACCTTCAAACTCCATACCCAAATTCCTCATTAACACATTCACTTCTGTAGGCAGACCTATAAAAGTCATTTCAAATTTTGCCAACACCATGGTTTGTTTGCAACGATATTTAATTTAAAATAATGTTATTTAATTAATTAATAATTTTATATTATTTTTTTAATATTTTTATTTTTGTACGCCTTATTTTATTTATTTTTTAAAAATATAATTATTTATTTTAATTATATTTTAAATTTTATAATTTATAATAATTTTTTAATATTAATTTTATGTATAATTATTTTAATTTTTATTTATAATTAATTTTATTATACAATAATTATTTATTTTAATATACTTATTAATTATACTTTAATTAAATTCTCATATTTATAATAAATTAAATACAAAAAGTGAGATATAAAAAATAATAGTGAGTTATAATATTATTTTATTATTTTTTATGTAATTGATTGTATTGATAACTTTAAAATAATTCGATCTTTTATTGGTACAGATAATTGTATCAAGAGTATAAAATATACTATTTTTGAATATTTAATTATTTTACTTTTTGTAATGAGTATTTTAAACTTATTTCACTTTTTTTAATTTTACAAAAAATAATTTGTTTATTATTATTTTTTGAAATCGCAACTGAAATATAATATTAGAAGAATAGATTATTGAAAGTGTGTTTTCTTTCATCAAACTCTCAAATTTTACTATTTAGACTATGTTCTTTGAAAAAAAAATTGTGCTTCGTTTGTTTTGTGTGTTAATTTGAAAGGAATTTTTTTATATAAATTATATAAAATTGTGTAAATAATATAAAAATAATAAGTATTTATAATATACTCTCCCGTCCCAACAAGAATGACCTCTTTGGTTGAAAATGCGGTATTTTATCTAGTGTAATTAGTAAGTTATTAATAATTAGCAGTGTCGTTAGTATTTTAAATATTTTTATAATTATATCTCAATAAAATATATGAAATATGAATATTATTTTGTAGATAATAAAATTTTATATAATACAATAAATAAAAATATATTTATTTATTTATAATTAACTTAAAATTAATTTTATAAAAAATGAAAAGTTTTGAATATAGAAAAAAATATTTTTTATTGATAAGAGAGATAAAAATATAAAATTTTTGAGTGAGCCATATAAAAAATTAAAAATTGATTTATATTTATTAAGTGTACTTAAAAAGTGAAAGATGAAACATGTAAATATTATTCTGTTCAAAAGATGTATTGGGCTTTTTTTCAAAAAAATAATTCACCATTTTTTTTCTCTTATTTTATTAAATATTATTTTAATGTCAAATTATAATTTAATATTTTCAAATCAAATTAAAAAGAAGCATAATTTTTTAAAAATATATATATACTTTTCATAAATTTATGTTTCTTTTCATATCTTTGAGAAAAAATTGATTTGAATTTGATATTAAAATAATATATAATAAAATATTTTGTAAGAAAAAAAAAATATTTTTTGTTTTAAAAAACGTAGAGTCAAATAATATAAACTTGAAATTTATTGCAAAAGAAACAAATCCTAAAAAATATTTATATAAATATAGTTGTTGTCGTAAAAATTATCTTCGGCAGCTTAATCGAAAGCCTTCCAGAATCAATTTGTATCGAAGGGTTCCCGACATCTTAAAAAAATGATTCGAATTATCTCGCGATTAACAAATAATCAAAGTGCAGGAAAGTAGTATAAAACTAGTAAAACAAGGAAGAAACTTGAAAAAGGAAAGCTAAAACTTGAAAAAAAATTAAAGAAAAATACAGTATTCTTGAATAAAAAATGCCAACAAAAAATTAAAGGAAAAGTAAAATGAAGAAGCTGAATAATGGTATCTGGCTTGTGATCTCTGCATAATCTGTTCATAATTTTATTTGTTTATTTTGAATTTGTTTAAATAAAGTTTTATCCCTAATTTTTTTTCAATAAATTTAATCACTTTTCTAGCCAGTTCTTTGACCTTCCCACCTCTTTTGTCGAGTTGGGTCATTGGGTTGGATAGCCCCGCAGATCCGTTCGTTGATTTAGATCTTCCGTTAGACCGCGAATCTCCTTATACTTGGGTTGTACTTGTATTGGTGCGGCCCAATTAATTTTTAGTGTGTACAAAATGTCTTAGTAATTGATGACTAAAATCATTGTGATGTTTATGTGTATAATGGGTGATAGCTCGATTTCGTTGCCAATAGAGATTGATGAGTCTAATGTCCACAACTCAATCAACTATTGAATTATACTCGCTCCGTACTGTTACATATAACTTTTTTTTTTTTTTTTTTTTCCATAAATATAATTTTTTTTATATTTTTAGTAAATTTATTTATTTTAAATTTATTTAAAAAAAATGACATATTCAAAACTCTTTTATTTTTATTCATCTTCTTAATAAACAAATTATTTTTATCTATATTTAAAACTTCTTGTTTTTTATAAAATAGTTTTAAGTTAATTTTATATAAATAAATATATTTTTTTTATTTATTTGTATTATATACAATTTTATTATCTACAAAATGATATTCATATTGCATAGACTTTATTGAGATATAATACAAAAATATTTAAAATATCAACAACACTACTCATATAAAAAATAACAAAATAATATCATAACTTATTATTAATAATTTACTAATTTAAACTATCTAAAATATTGTATCCATAACCAAATGGTTCATCTTTACCGGGACGGAGGGAGTACTCCTTAGTTCGGACTCCAACTAATAAGTATATATTACTTTTGATGCGGAGTTTAAAAAAATAATACTCTCTCCGTCCGCTTACAAAGTTTACATGTTTCTATTTTGGGACGTGCAATTACAAAGTTTACATTTTATTAAATACCCTACTTTTTTCACAAATACCCTTACTTTACATCACATCGTTACTTTTACACAAAAAAGTAAGGGCAAAAATATCATTATACTACTTTTAACTACTCACTATAATTAAAAGACTATTATTTCTTAAACACCGAGCCAAAAGTAAATGTAATTTTTGTAAATGGACAGAGGGAGTAGTATTTTAATTATAGTGGATAGTTAAAAGTAATATAAAAATAATTATTTTCTTACTTTTTGGTGTGAAAATAATGATGTGATAGTAAAAATATAAATATTTGTGAAAAAAAATAAGATATTTAATTAAATGATTTCTTTGTGAGACAATCAAAATAAAAATATGTATACTTTACGACAGGATGGGAGAAGTATTATTTTTGTATATCTTATTTAAAAATTATTTATTTTTTATTATATTAAAAATAATTGTGTATTAATATTAAAATATTTTTATTTTTATTTATTTAATTTACAAATATATTATTATAAAAAATAAATTAATTTATATATAACATATAAAAGACAAAAGTATCATAACATTCTTATTTTAACATATAACACCATGAATGTCATATTAAAAGCACCAAATAATTCTCATATAGTTTCAAAATTCAGCGTACAATTCTGTACTTTAAAAATGGAATGACGTCTTCTTATACTTTTAAAAAATATTGCATGAACCTCTTTTTATATTTTTTGTGTGATAATAAGATGATTTTCTATCTATATTTTTTTTTGCATGAAGAGGGTTTTATGCAAGAATTTTTAAGATATAAGTGGACATAATACAATTTTTTAAAGTATAAAGAAAATTTACGTTGAATTTCGAAATCACATAAAAATTATGGACAATTTTATCTATTCAATATGTCAACACATGGTATAATGTTCGGTATAATGGTTATAAATGTCATTTTTAAAATTCAAAAATAGACATTGTGTTATATATTAAACACGTTGAATCAAAATCGATTTTCATATATTTGGGCTTATATCTAATTTCATGATTAAATCATGTACTTGAATTTTTACGTAATTTCATGATAAAAAATCATATTTAACCCGAGCTATGAGATGAACATGTTTGGTTTCACCAAGTCAAGTCCAAAATCCAAATTTCAAATTCATGATCATGTCCACAATCTCATTTGAACCCATGGCCAAAGGACAATTTAAAATTATTTTAGCCATGTCCAACTCTAATCTAACTGAACTATACACAACTTGTGTCCGACTATTTTTGCTAAACACTTTATACACTTTACGTAAGTTCAATTTAGCTCACTATAGTTAATTCATCTGATAATTCACACAAAATCCAATTAAATGATAATTCATTTAGTTATTTTTTCATGATCCATCATATTTGTCACTCACCAAATAATCGATTTTGAGAAACCATGAGTTTAATTATAAATTAAATTTTCAACAATTGATTAAAATATTAAACGGTTATCAACCATGCCCGTATAAGTGGAAATATCAAGAGGAAGCAAAATGCATAACTCAATTCCTAGGAAATATCAACACATATGTGTAGGGAGCTTTGACTTTGGACTTTCTATTATAGTTTATATTTTAGGATGCACCAACGTCCTAAATGAGACGATGCATTGAATTATTGGTTTTTAGTCAATAATATTGATATGTTACTATCTCAATCTTATTTTATTTTCATATTTTGATATATTTTGACCAACATTTGGATTCATAAGTATTACTTTTGACAGTTCCCATATGGTTCTGAATTATAAATTCAGGATCATCCTGAATCAATCATGGTCATAGGATCTGAAAATGAATAAACAATCAAGATTATGTGTAGGGGTGGATAAGTAATTTAGCTTACATGATAAATAAGACAATTATAAATCTATGCATAAATGAAGGAGATGTAAATATAGATGTAATATTCTTTTATTATTAGGTTATCATAATCCAAATTTCGATATTTTACACACACACACAAAAAAAAAGAAAATTATACGCTCTCGGCCGACGTCGATCGGCCCCATAATATATACTAGTGAACTTGGATGAAGATGGATGAAAATGCACTACCAAAAAACAGGGTATTAACCACGGGCTGAGGGTTCGTAACAATATCATCGTAACAAATAGATATTTTGGTTACAATAAAAACCGTGACAAAACAATTTTTGTTCGGTCAACGTTTCAGGCACAGTTGTTACGCAGAATTTTATGTAACAATTAAGAAGAAAGAAAACTTTGGTCGAAATAATATTAGTTACGATCAAATTTCGTAACTAATGATATTAATTTATTTTTTCCATTTAAATTTAATATTTGAAATTTTCAAAAAAAATAATATATATATATATATAAACACGCATTGGTAACTCTTCACCCAAAAATCTCAAATATAGAAATTAGGGCACACCTTCTCTCTCTCTCGTTGTTCTCCTCCCTCCCTCGCACTGCACTGTACTCCCCCCTCCTTCCGCCGACACAACCCTCATCGTCAAATTGGTTGGATTGACAAGCTACTCCGGCGCCGGCGTTCAGGTAAGGTATTTAGGTTTTGTCCAATAAGATTCAGTGTGGACCTACGGTTTTTCGTCCGTTGCATTCTCAAACTGATATTTTGAGGAACACAAAAAATTGGCTTCTTTAGGTTCATACGGGTTTGGGTCATTCTTTAGGTTCATACGGGTTTGGGTATGCCATGATTGCTTTCTCTTTGTTCATGTCTGTGTCTAGAGCAAGTTTTTGAGGTTGATTTTTTTAATTTTTTTTGCAGAAAGATCGTTTGTTGATGATATCTAGTAAGACTCTAGGATTTCTCCAGGGATTGGTATGATTTAGTTGAACTAAATTTAGAACGAGATTCCGTAGTTGAAATCTACACAGCGGGCTGCCCTAGGTTATGTGCAACTTTTGCCGTTCTGGGTTTCGATATCGGATGTAATGTGTTATGGGCATTTTTGGTTTTTGTTAGGGAAACGATGGATAATTATAGTTTTGATGATGATTTGTTGTGGTTTTACTGTTTGATATTTGCTACTCAATGAGGAAAACATAAAATCAGTAAGGTTTTTAGTGTGATTCGTACGCCTAGTTAGTTTGGGATATGAATGATCAAGTGATGGCATTAGGTGTAGTTCAATGTTCAGTTTGTATATTTGAGGAATCAATTTGTTCAGCTCAATAGGTGCTTGTGAATTTGGATTCAATAAACAGGAAAAATAGAAAAGGGGAAGAGATTTGAATTTAGTAAATGAATTCTGATTGATAAAGCATAATAGGTTAAACCAAAATGTAGATCAGGAATGGAGATACCTTACACAACTCACTTGATAATTGTTCAGATTTCCACTTAAATGTTGTATGTTATAGTGTTGGATATGTTTTCCATTTCATCTCTATGAATGGATTGAAATAGCATTGTTTACACTTCCAATCTTACAATATATTGTTGTTCTGCGAATTTATTGTATAACTTATGATTCAGTATTAGGGATAGGCCTTAAACACCGGCATGTATAAAAGGTTGGAGGTAGCATAGTTGTAAATGGATTGCTAAGGTGCAAAGCCTGTATTTTTTTGTTAATTAGTTATATTTATTGCGGTTTAGTCTGTATTTACCGATTAAATAAGGATACGAAAAGCATATTTCTCTTTCTTTAAGTTTTCTCCAGCTCAAACCTACTGTTTCTATAGTCTCCTTTTCAGGTCTGCTGTTATGTAATTTTGGCTAAATTCCTTAAATGTGTACTACCCTAGTCTCTAGTTTTTTTTTATCTTCTAGCTGCAGAAATTCTGAATACCTTATAAAACTGGAGGTCATCTTATCTAAATCCTGCATGATTATGGGCTTCAAGTATCTCATTGTTCATTTGCAAACATCTAAATGGTTGAAAAAACTAACACTATATTGTATAATGTATTTAATCATTGTATCTTAGACTTAAATAGAGCCACGACTAGTTAGGATAGAGTTTAGATGAGGAACATGATAATGATGATTTTAAACATACAAAACACCTAAAATCAGGGTGGAAATTGATACATCAAAGCTGATTCTGATCTCAAATTTAAATAAACAGTTGGTATGAGACCCGACACACATTTTATGTAATAGTACATTCTTGCTGGTTTCATAAGAAAGATTTGCAACTACCGAAAAGTATTTGGCCATGTTTTTGATATTTTTTACTCCTGTTAGGGAGGTATACAACGTCGGTTTTCCCTTTATATTGTGAAGATTTTGTGTTAGTTATGAATACACAATATGTGCCTTGCATAGACATAAATGTCATTTGTTTCTAAACAATGTGAATAACCTCGTTCTTCTTATGAAATAATGTATACCCGGGGAAAAAATATGCTGCATGGTTTTAGTATGTGTTTTAATTTCACATAGTGTCGATATCCTAGAATTTATAGGGGAAACAACAGTAACTTATGATAAATTAATGAAGGAACTAATTCAAAGGCTTATATTGCATTTTCAGTCCCTTCATCAGCATGTTATACTAAAAGTGATATATATATGTACCAATTCAATCCTACAATAAATAATGGATATTGCAACGTAGTGCGTGTTTAACTTTTGTAGTAGTTTGTGCTATTTTTACTGAAAATGAGTGCATATTTAACTTGTGTTTTTTTTATAGGATACTAAATTGTGGAGACAAAGGCGTGCAGTGTGAACGCAGGATAAGCATACTTGGTTTTAACGGAAGATCTGATTTCTTTTTAATGCATTTCCACTGTGCAAAACTTCTAAGTGGTCTATGTTTTCTCGGGTGGTGGTGTAGTTAAGTGTTGTGTGCATTCCCACAAACCTGAAATATTCTTTGTTCATCAGATTTGAGGATTTTTTCATATTCGTACAAAAGGGCAAGGAAAAATTTAGAATATTTAGAAATTTTTCTTGACACAAGTAGGGTATGGATAATTCTTGCTACTCTAGTATCTAGAGATAACGGATCAGAATTTTTTGCGGAGCGTAGAAATCATTCAGTTCTCATTAAATTGCATCCATAAAAGGTTCTTAAGTGGAGAAAATGGCTGATTTTAAACCATGAGCCTTAATGTTGTGATGAATGTTATGTTTTACTTATAAGTGCAGTACATGGACTTATAGGTACCAGAATGCAGTTTCTTAAATCCGATGCTATAACTTTGTTCTTTTAAATTGAGGGTGCACGCCCGTATCAAGACTTGAACATTACGAGTTTGAATGCATGTTATGTTAATGGAATCACATGCATATTGCCTTTTTAGATGGATAGGAGTTGGATAGGCGATGCGAACCATATCTCCACTCAATATTTGGATGGGGTCAGGGCTTTCTTAGATTTTGCGTTCAAAGATAGGAACTCTGATGCTTCCATCTATTGTCCCTGTACGTCATGTGAAAATCGCATAACAAAATCTCGTAGGGATATCTTGCTCCATTGTATTCGCTATGGATTAGACCAATCCTACAAGGTCTGGACTTGTCATGGGGAAGGAGAGGTGAACTATGCGGTTGTAGAAGACATTGTTCCAATCCGTTGGGAGGATGAACTAGATCTTCTGTTGCAATAGTGCGCAACAGCAGAGGACACCGGGCCGGGGCCCAGTAACGCCGAACCTCTTAATGATAAGGAGGATGAGCATATACATCATGACAGTAAGGGGTACAGAAAAATGTTAGAAGATGTAGAGAAATAGCTTATACCAGGGTGCAAAAAAATGAGCAGACTCTCGTTTATCACTCGCCTTTTACACTTGAAGGTTTTGTGCCACTGGTCTAATAAATCTATTGACTTGTTGTTAGAGTTGTTAAGGGATGCACTTCCAGACGATGTTGTCCTCCCGAAGAACTTCTACGAGGCTAACAAGATCACGAAGGACTTGGGGTTCACATGCAAGACTATCCATGCATGCATCAACAATTGCATGTTGTTTATCGGGGAAGATGTTCACCGTGATGCTTGTGTTGTGTATGGGGAGAAAAGATTCACACAGGGTAAAGATAGATCTCCCGTGAAGCAGTTGAGGTACTTTCCGTTGATTCCCCGATTGCAGAGATGGTTCTTATCTTCCAAAACTGCATCTTCTATACGATGGCATGCCAAAGGGCGTGTCGATGATGGCAAGATGCGTCACCTAGCAGATAGTCCTGCGTGGAAGGGGTTTGATCATCGGTACCCCACGTTTGCTGAGGATATTCACAACGTACGCCTTGGGTTGGCCACCGACGGTTTCAACCCCTTTGAAAATATGAGCGTCAGCTACAGCATTTGGCCCGTAGTACTTGTGATATATAATCTATCACCATGGCTATGCATGAAGCAACCATCGTTCATCCTATCTAACAATTATAGATGGTCCGCAAGGCCCGGGGGATCGGATCGACGTCTTCCTTCAACCTTTGATGGATGAGTTGAAGGAGCTTTGGTATGACGGTGTTCGGACATACGATGCGAGAAGCAAAGAGGACTTCCAAATGCGAGCTACGTTGCTGTGGACCATCAGTGATTTTCCAGGTTATGGTATGTTGTCAGGGTGGCCAACTCGTGAGGCGAATGCATGTCCTGTTTGTGGTGTGAAAACTCATTCCAGGTATCTAAAAGTTGGCCACAAATATAGCTACTGTGGGCATCGAAGGTTCCTACCGAGTGGGCATAGAATGCGTTATCATAAGCATGCATTTGACGGTATGATGGACTTTGAGACAAAGCCGTCTCGCTTGACTTCCAATGAACTGCACCAGCAGTTTCAGGATGTGCGAACTGAGTACTGTAAGGTTGATCTTATTCAGAAGGTTGTTGCACAGTGATTCCAAAAGCGTATCCACGATGTAGATGTGAACCAACGTACATAGAAAAAAATGAGCATTCTGTTCGAGCTCCCTTATTGGGCCGAGAACGAAGTACGTCACAACCTCGACTTGATGTACATTAAAAAGAATGTGTGTGAGATTGTATTGTATACATTGTTGGGGACTAAAGGAAAAACAAAGGATAATCTCAACACAAGGAAATACTTGCAGTTACTACAAATACGCAATTCTTTGCATCCGGTCTCCGGTCCGAGGGGTTCTATATACTTGCCTGCTGCTATGTACACTATGAGTAACCCAGAAAAATGAATCTTCCTATCTGTGTTAAAGGATCTACGACCACCTTATGGATTCAATTCGAACTTATCGCATCGTGTTAGGGTACAACAACAACAACTATAGGGTCTTAAGAGCCACGACTGCCACATTCTTATGCAACGACTTCTTCCTATTGCAGCCCGATGGTATACCCTTGTAACACAATTATATTACTTAACCCAAGTCACGCTTCCTCTTAACATAATTAAAGGTGCCACTTCATCACTTTTTACAGGTATCTTCCCAAGAATGTTGTGCTCGTGTTGATTGAACTTTGTAACTTCTTCAATTATGTGTGCTCAACTAGCAACACAGTTTGTGAGCTGGAGCAAATACAAGAAAGAGTTTCGTTGACATTATGCCACCTTGAAAAGCTATTCCCACCTTCATTCTTCAATGTGATGGAGCATATTCCAATCCACTTGGCTGAGGAGGCAATGGTCAACGGTTTGGTGCAGTACTGGTGGATGTATCTCATGTACTCTGAAGAGGTACGTACGGAATCGGGCCCAAGTTGAGGGTTCTATTGCACGTGGATACCTTATGGAAGAGTGTGTGATCTTTTGCTCAAGATATCTTGGGGACATAGAGACCAAAGAGAACTGGGGTGTTCAAGGTGTGAAGAAGGGACACAACACGATAAAGGATTATTTGGTTCTAGGTTTAACCTTGATTACAATACGATGCGTCAGATTCATAGTTACATCCTAGGAAATGTAGATGCAATAAGTCCGATACGAAGGTTATTTCACCTTAACTTCACAATACTTGTATGCATTCTTTATTGATGTTCAATATATTCCAATTTTGTTTTTGCAGTCTAGGATTCACGTGGATAGTATTAGGTCCAGTCGAGGTCGCGCACCTACGTGAGGTGCAACGCTAACACAACGAACATTTTGCGTCATGGTTTCAATCATACGTGAGTATCCTTTACCAGTAACCCTACACGGGAATGCCCCAAAAACAATATCGAAACCATGAGTGTTCATAAACTATTTTATGTCAAATGTAGGTAGATGATCCAACGCATAACGATGTCTGCCCAATCTCGGATTGGATACGTGCATTGGCTCATGGACCATCGTGTAGTGCAACACGGTACTCTTCGTGCATTATTTATTGAATACGTTATCGGATTAAAGATCGGGATGCGGGAAAGAGGACACAATGTGCAGGTGTTATGGTTACGGCAGATACAGTAAGTTAAGCCTCCACTAGGGGCCATAACCCACGAGAAGGTTCCGTGGCATATTACGAGATTATTACAAACATTGTAGAGGTGTACTATGACAATCTACAGAAGTACCTTCTTTTAAAATGTGATTGGGTGGATCCTGAGAGAAGTGTTAAAGAAGATGAGTTCAAGTACAAGCTTGTGAACTTCAATCATCTGATGTACCCGAAGAACTTGCCCACTGATGAGCCATTTGTCCTGGCAACCCAAGCCAATCAAGTTTGGTACATTGCAGACCCGGTTCAGGAGGACTGGAGTGTTGTTGTTCCGGTGACTCGGCGGGACACATATGATGTGTATAGTACAATCAATCATAGATTCAGTACTAGGTTCGCTTTAGATGACGGAGGCAACGCCATAGAAACTGGCGACTATTGGCTAAGGGAAGACGTTGAGGGCCAGCTACTTGATGGAACAACACAGATTGACAATGCAGAGATTTCAGCTCGGCATTCGGAGGAAACCTCCGAAGATTAATATGCTTAGTGGTGAAGGAAGAAATCGGGCATTTTTTATTGTATATAAATATTGCTTGGTGAACGCCCACATTTTGACAGTATGACAACCACACTTCTTTTTTGAGCTCCAATATCAGAATAAATTTCACATCTCAACATATGGTACTTTTTTCACAAGGGTGTATCAGTTCAAGTATGCCTTAGGTAAAAACTTTGAGTCAATCATCTCATTTCATCAACTATGTTTTCTATCGTTGTATGTTCTTCATCTGCTACATGCATTGTTTGTTTTATTATGTTGTGACTTTTGTGTTGTTTCGCACAACTCCCTAATGCTTATATGTTGCAGGTTATGGCAAAAACTAAACGAGGGGCTGTAGGAGGGTCCCAAGATTTGACTGGCTCGCCCGTAAGACGTGTTATCCGGGCATCCGCATGCAACAACCCCGTAGATGGAACTAATGTAGCTAGCAAGAACCCATCACCTATGCGGAAAACTGCAAAGAAAATGACAAAATAAAAGGGAACGCGTGTCTCACCGTTGCTCCGGCAAGTTCGCTCCATCACATCAGAGTGGGAGAAATGGGGCAATATACATCCTCCCACCAAATCAATGACATCGTCCACTCGACGGGCAGTGCTTCAGGATTCGCAGGGGCCTGTATAGGTAATGTTGTTCTTTTGCGTCATTTGGTTCTTAACTGTCATTGACATAAGTCCGTAATGTGCTGACAGTATTAAAACCAACAGGAACATAATGCTAGGGATATCACAGCTTCCCTTGAACCAAATGCACCGATGTAGGATGAGGATGAGACAATACCCCCCACACAAGTAGATGACGAAACAATCCCACCGATGCAAGACATGGAGACTGCGGATAGTGATATGCCCATTCCTGGGTGGGGAATTGGGGCCCGACCTTGTGGCGATGGAAGACACAGAGGCGGGCGATATGGCACACTTGGATGGAAAACAGGGAAGGGGGCAGCGAGAATGCCACATGAATGGGGAAAAGATCACAAGATGCTTGTATTTACATCGCCGGATGGCAAAAGCATTGTTGGACCTGACGTAAATGAGTACAAGACCGCTATTGGGGTGATTGCGCGCAATGGAGCTCGACTTCCTCTACATTACCCAACATTTGCTGAAATACCGGAGACAAAGAGCAGGGTGCATGGATGGAGGTTCAGGTGATGCAACATTCATTAATTTTAAATTCCTTCGATTTTTTTAGAGTCCTATTTACTCTCATACTATCTTGTCTGGATGGGGCGATAACCACGCCACATGTCCTACCAGAGCAACAACGGATTACCAAACTCAGCAGAGAAAGTGGTCTTGGCTGACTTACGGGAGGTTTGGAGGCATTGGAAATACAACATCAAATCAACTTACTTCAACCTAATCCAGGATGACAACGAAGCATTGAAAAAGGTTCCTTCAAGCCGGATTGTGGCCGATCAATGGCCGAAGTTGGTCGAGTACTGGCAGGACGAAAAGGTTAAGGTATGCAATAGAGACGGACAATAATTTGAATATTATATTGGCAGAGTCCTATTTGAGATCTAAATAATTCGTATATATGTAGCTTCAATCCAAGAAAAATGCATCTAACGTATAGAAAAGAAGCTTCTCGCATCGTACTGGGCGGAAGTCCTTCACGACTCTCGCTGATGAGGTACCTTTTATTACAATTAAGAAATCAGTCCAAATTTCTTTGTTTCTATGTTATGCTCTATCCATACGTTTTCCTTTTGTATAGTTGATGGGTTTTTCAATGACGCAATGCCTTGTGTTGATGCAGATCAAGGCGAAGGGGAAGGACCCCGACAGTTTAGAGATATGGATATCCAGTCGCACACAAGGCAAGGGAACAGACAATCAACAAACCAAAGAGATATTGGTATAATAAATTCATTCCCTACGTTAACACAATTTAGATATTAACTGCCTCTATAACTATACGTGCGAGGTCGGCCTCACTTGATTCTTTTGTTCTAGACATATTTGTAGAATGAGCTAAACAAGATTCCCCCGGAAGGGCGGACTCCGGCTGTTCGGGAGACTCTTTACCAACGGGCTCTTGGGGAAAAGACCAAAAAATGCTCAAAGTTTGACAGTGCCGCCAGTTCAGCTCATCCCCGCAGTGAGGCAACTGGTTTAACATATACTGTAGCATTCCAGCAAGGGTGGGAAGAAATACAGAGCGGACTTGCACAGTTGAAGGAAACGATGGCTGAGTTCAAAACTATCAAGGCTGATGTGTATGCATTCATGCACAGAAACTCCGGAGCAGTTAGTGGCCCATCTGTAAGTATTCTTAATATTCATACTTTCTTTAATTGCATCCCACGAGCTTTGAATGGCTAAAAAATTCACTACGATCTGTTTATTCTTCATAGGCCATAGCTCGTATTGATACGGTCTCTGAGCTTCTTAGGCCTGTCTCTGAATCACCTATGACGGTATGATTTTGTGAAACCCTAAAGCTAACTAAGTGTCAACTTTAAACTAACCTTCATTTCCAACCTGTATGCTTCCAACTATTCTGCAATCTCTATTGTAGGTTGGCACCCGTGTGCTAATATTATCTCGTACCAGAGAGAAGAAAGTTGTTGCTGAGGGACTTCTGCTCAGTCCCCCTGCACTAGGTTAGTGGCATTGTGCCTTAATTTTATTCTTTTGAATCCTTCAATATGATATTCATACCGCATTGTCGATGTTGTGACCGTACAGGTGTCATAGTGCAGTTGATTATGGTTTTATTAAGTATGGGCATCTTTAATTTGACATATGTGGCAGTTAGAGTATTGTGTATATATAGGTTGTTATTGTAGGGACAGTGGCTATATTGGTGTAATGTTGATTCTGTGCTGATCTTATATTTTTTATCGCTTGCATAACATTGTTTATGGCTATGCTGTTATTATACTATTTAGGCGCACACTACAGTCCCAAAACCGATGAATGAATGCTTT